CCGGGAGTTCTGGCCAGAGTGCATTTTTCAATAATAGCGAGAGTTTTTCTTGTAAAAAAAAAGAAAAAAATGGCTGACGCTGCGCGGTGAGGACACTTTGAAATAAACTCTAAATTCTGTCCAAAAGACTCAGCTGTAAATAACCTGCAATGGATGTGTCCTTTTTAAATATCGATGTTTAAATCCCATTTAAATATCCAATATTTTACCACTTCTTTCCTGATTTTTGAGACATAGCTTAAAACGAGACGCCTTTAGCTCCTATAAGCATCCCATTAAAACTATTAATGTAATAGTGTAAATGAAAACATGAACTCAGCCGAATACTACAAACCTAAACAAAATGACATTTTGTGTGTTTGCTTTTAGGAAACAAAGTAAACTCCTCATACATTCTCAAGCAAAAGATCAAATGGGAAAAGGTTTCTCTTATAAATGACTATAACGACATTTATTTAGTTGCCAAAAAATATATTCTTTAAAGACAAATTCATATCCTGTATTTACAATTTTCAGGGTGTCCGTTCACAAAAGCAGAAGAAAAAAAAAAAACTCAAAACACAGAAAGAGGACATAAGCCGATATTTTTTGACAAAAACAACCATCTCTTTTGCGAGTAGAAGCTAAGCAGTAACACTATGACAGGTCGCCCCTTCAGAAAAATAGCCTTCGTCCAACTGCTCTCTATTAAATAAAATTATTCCTATCTTTCTCTTTTTCGCTTTATCTTCTCATAACGTCGATGTCAGAACTCGCTGTGATGATGTCCCATGATGAGATCTGAGGAAAGAGAAAAAATAATAGAGGATTCAAGACCGTATTTGGGTCCTTAAGCTAGTTTGAAGTCATATTTCCAGAACTACAGTAAGGGGAAATAAGTATTTGACCCCTTGCTGATTTTGCAGGTTTGCCCACTTACAAAGAATGCTTATTTTTCCTCATCAGATGGTTATCAATTTTTATAAATTCACATGATGTGATTTTCTGGAATTTTCTTTGGGATTCTGTCTTTCACTGTTAGAATGTACATATGATTAAAGTTATAGATCGTTGCATTCTTTGTAAGTGGGCAAACCTGCAAAATCAGCAAGGGGTCAGATACTTATTTCCCCCACTGTATACATTTCCAGTATCAAACAGAATTAAACAATGGAATCATGCAAATTGAAAATGACTTTAGGTAATAATCTGTCTCATGTCTTTTCATGCTCCACTTGGTTCCTGATGCTGCTATCTGAGCTTTTTTTTTTAAAAACGCATTAGATTCATGCGCTGAGGGGGCGTAAATAAGCGGTGGCAGATTATTTAAATGACATAGGTGGCCGTAAACTGCCTGAGAAGTGGAGGAGGGGCTGTTAGAGAACGTGTGCCTGATGGGGCGTTAAAGGGGGGAATCCATCTCATGATTTATGAGCCGAGGTCTGTTTCCAGACCCGTCAGGTGTGTTTACCTCCGCTTTAAGGTTCATTTAACAGCAGGGTGCCCGGAGATATTAGGAGATATTAAGACTGAGTGTCTGATGGTGGCAAATTGATTTCAAAGGGGGAAACTTTACCTGTCGGTGATCAACTGAAAGGAGGACTTCAGAGAATCGGGCCTGTGGTCGCTCTCTTCATCTGGATAGAAAAATAGATGAATGAATAATAAAATCAGGACGGATTTTAAAAAATAAAAGGATTTCTCAGTTTTTAACGTACAGTTTTCTAAACTACAGTCTCAGTGTCTTATGTGGTTCTCATGGTATCATGTCCTGCTTTTCCAAACAGTAAGATGGCAAAGTTGTGTCACATAAACCTCTGATTCTGTTTCTGTGCATCACACATTTGACTTTAATGTTCTGTCCCCAAGTTTAGCTAAAACCAAACAGTCCAATTGTGTTTCCTACCTTAAACCACCATCGTTTTGTTTAACGTTTTCAAGCTTTTATCCGGGGGAAGGTAACTCTACCATGGCCAAAAATATCCACTAATAAAACACAATGATAGCAATAACTGGGTCCTTTTCAAACATAAACTTAAAGACTTTTTATTGAGAGGTCAGACATGTGAACATTAATAATCTAACGGACCTGATCTTGTATCTGGGATGTTTTAGTGTGTGATTTGTTCTGTTGTGCCTTAATACAGTCACTGTGTTTTGTGCAAAAGCCTAACTGGGGACAGGGATTGAGAATTAGCCTTAGCTAAAATGTTGTAGTGTGTGACATGATTCATGAAACATACAGTGGGGGAAATAAGAATTTGACCCCTTGCTGATTTTGCAGGTTTGCCCACTTACAAAGAATGCTTATTTTTCCTCATCAGATGGTTATCAATTTTTATAAATTCATATGATGTGAATTTCTGGAATTTTCTTTGGGATTCTGTCTCTGAATGTACATATGATTAAAGTTATAGATCGTTGCATTCTTTGTAAGTGGGCAAACCTGCAAAATCAGCAAGGGCTCAAATACTTATTTCCCCCACTGTACTTGTCCCTATCAAATAAACGAATAAATACAAATAAACATAACATAACAATTACAAATCCTGACACGTGTACCGTACCGTCTCTTTTGGGGCTGAAGCTCCCCGTGGACTCCACGTCGCTGTCCTCCTCGGTCCCGGAGGTCCGTGCGTCATTACGCGCGACCGGTGCCGGTTCCGCGTGCTGCTGCGTTGCTTGTTGCGCCGCGTTGTGCGCGTGCTGCGCGTGCTGCGCGTGCTGCGCGTGCACGTGTCCGCCCAGCAGCGACCTCATGTTGAGGATGGAGCTGGCGTTGAGCAGGGCCGCGTTGGCCCAGTTGTGCAGCTTCCCGATCTGGCACGCGTAAATCCCGCGGCCCAACGGGCGCGCGTGCGCGTGGGGCCTGCGCGCGCTGTCGGGGCTCGTGGCGGTCTCGGCCAAAGACCAGATTTTGGGTTTGCTCTGGGAGGGTCGCGCGCACTCCTCTGCACCGGGGGACCGGGCCTCGGGGGGCTTGTTTCCGGCCTCCGGGGACCGGGTCCTGGTCCTCTGTTCCCCCGGTTCCCCCTCCTCCTCCCCGGGGTTTTTCGCTTCCTCTTCCTCCTCCTCCACCGGCCTCTCGATGTCCACCGTCTCCAGATCGATCTCCTCCTCTTCCTCCTCCTCCTCCTCCTCCTCCTCGTCGCTGCCGTGCTTCCCGGGCTCGTCCTCCTCGTTGTCGCTGCTGAAGATGCGGCCGTCCCGGTCCTCCGCGCTGCGGCCCCACGTCACCTTGTTCTCCTTTTTCAGCCGTCTGCGCGCGTTCGCGAACCACGTGGACACCTGGAATTAAATTACGCAATTTACTATTCAATTACACGATTTACCGTTAAATCACACGATTCTCCAAACTTGTTTTGCACGTCAGAACGAGCGATGCTCTCGCTTTTTATTAGTGTTCATAGCTGGAGAAACACTGTGTGTGGACAGCAGAATCCATTTAGGACACATCTGCCAATTCTTATCATAAGAATCACCTTAAAAGAGTCAAGTAAAAACAAAACTATGCATTTTTCCTATATTGATTTCCTTTAATGGTGATAATAATAATATAAATGATATAATAAAACGACCATGACTTATTTCCATTCTGCATTGAAGTCAAAGAAAAAAACGTTTCACTTATTTTTTCTTTATAAACCATAAACTGACATAATACACACACACACACTGTGTGGACACCAGCTTCCATTTAAGACACATCTGCCAACTCTTATCATAAGAGCCATCATAAAAGAGTAAAGTAAAAACAAAACAATGTATTTTTCCTATATTGACTTCCTTTGGTGGTAATAATGATAATATAAATGATACTGTATAATAAAACGACCATAACTTATTTCCATCACTGCATTGAACTCAAATAATAAAAAAAAACATTTCTTTTTTCTTTATAAACCATAAACTGACACATAATACACACACTGTGTGGACAGCAACCTCCATTTAGGACACATCTGCCAACTCTTATCATAAGGACCATTGTAAAAGAGTCAAGTAAAAACAAAACTATGTAATAATAATGATATAAATGATTATTGTTGGGTTTCTGTAATTAACTTCAGAGTAGGTCTGACCTGCTCTGTTTGGAAAGCTGTGAGACAACTGTTGTTGTGATGTGGCGCTATATAAATAAATAGAATTGAATTGAATTCATTTTAATTTTGTAATGTCATTGTCTGAACGTGTGTTTGGACTGATTTTGTATTTTGTGATTTTGTGTTGTTTGGTCTTCCTGCCTCAGGACCACAGATGTAAACTAGCAACTACGCTATAATCTGGCTCATTTACAATCTGTATGAGATTGTTCATCAATGTGCACTGTCCTGATTAAATAAATAAATAAATATGAGAACATATAATAAAACGACCATAACTTATTTCCATCACTGCATTGAACTCAAATGAAAAAAAACACTTATTTTTTCTTTATAAACCATAAAGGACACACACACAGACACAGACACACACACCTGTGTGAGGGTCATCCTG